ACTATTTAAATTAAATCAAAAATTTTACTTAATATTAATTAAAAATATTTTAAATTTTTATTTTAGCTTAGAAATAGAGGGTGAATGCTTAATAAAATTTTATGTTATTGTAAAAAATAAAAAAAAAAGACATTCTAGCAGCCATATTTGGCCGCTAGATAGTTTAAGGGATAGAAACATGGTTTACTTTAGAGCAAAGATATGTTTATTTATTTATAATACAATGTTTAAATACAAAGCTATCTATAGGTATCTATTTCTATAGAATCTTAATATTTTAGAATATTGCAGAAAACGAATCCTCTAGTATAAGAAGGATAAAAGCTAGAGTTTATATAGCTTTTACAACATGTATAAAAGATATAAAAAGTACTAAACATATAAAAGTTATAAAAGGTATAAAAGATACAAAAGGTATAAAAGATACAAAAGGTATAAAAGGTACAAAAGGTACAAAAGGTATAAAAGGTACAAAAGGTATTATCTAGCTAACTAATAGTCTGTTTGTCTTGTATTATAGCTTGTTTTAATCGTTACAATCTTTTGGATCTAATAGAGTTAAAATCTCTAATATGTTCTATAATGTTAACTCGTTTTATAACAAGTACCAATAACTAGTAGCACTTATATAACAATTAATCAAAGTCATAATAGCATATTTATGATATAAATTATTAGTAGTATAAAAAAGTATATTGGCATAATTAATAAATGATACAATAAGATGGGAGTTAAAAAATACATTTTTCAGATAACTGATTGATCTAATAAAGACTTACTAGTCATACTGAAGTCAAGTTTGGCACAATGATTTTATCATAATGATATTATAATGATAAGAATAGTTGTATGTTTTAGGATTATTAGAGCAAAAACTTAATCAATTGCTCAATTTGAAACTATTAGTTACAGTTAAATTGCTATCTTGAATTACATATTAATATATATTTATTATATTTATCTATTTTTTTTTTTTTTTTTAACGACACTGCCTCTTTATTACTCATTATTGTGGATACGTAATACAACACATTACTTTTACAACAAATATTCAGTACATCATTGGTAATCTCTAACTTATTAGTACCTGTTATGCTGCCATCACCGAGTTCATATCTCAAGCCGCCTTTTGTGATACTGCCATAACCCAGTCTGTATCTCAAGCCATAACCTTTCTAATTAGTTATCAACAACCGCAGATATCCCAGGTCCCTCCCCCTGCAGTGTTATAGTTCCTGAATATCCATAAACCTCTTTGAGTAAGACGTACCAAATCTTTCAGCCCGGTATAGTTGTCATAACCCCTATTTACCTCACTATTGGTTTATATGGCGTCTGTAGTTTGCTTACCCCGACTCCAGATGTCTCTGGATTATTGGATAGTAGGATATTCTCATTTTGCTAGATATCACATATCCTATATATATCTCTATATAGACTTTGGCAACTTACGCCACGGCTTTACCCATGCACTTGGGGTCAGGGCTAAGCATTGAACCCCTGCAATTACCTACTTCTGCCCTTATTAGATTCACAATAACCCTGGTACCCGCAATTGGACCGTCTTCTTACTTGGATTTTTTATCAGTCTCTCTCTTACTTCCAGCTGACAACTCAGAAGGGTTGGTCTGCCTAGGCTTTAGATGCCTGAAGGATGCCCCTCTTGGTATATACTTTCAGAGCATATATTTTTTTTCCTTCGATGCGACAGACCCAGTGGTTTGGCTAGTGTGTCCTCCACTATTAAAACCTGGTCATTTGGTTCTCTGATCTTAGGCCCCGGTTCGAATTTAGCCCTTGTGTAATACCATCAAAGATCACTGTTATTCCTAGCTCAGGACTTTCCAAATGGGTTTTCAGTTATGCTGGTTTTTCAGATTTATTGTGCTATTGCTCCTATTACTAGATAGTGTGACCAAAGTTACAGATTAGATTCAACCAATAAGCATAGCTGTCAACTGAAACACAAGCCTATTTTTTCAAATATTGTCGTCTATGGAATTTGAACTCTAGACCTGCCACTTGGAGAGGGTGACAATTAGACTACTACACTAAGTCACCACACCTCTTATTTATTTATTTTTTAATGGATTCATATAATTTATTTTTATATAGCATAAGTCTAATTTAGTTTTTCTATATTAAAAATAGTTATTAATTTATTAGCAGTTTATTTTTTTTATTTTTAAAAATTTATTTATTTAGTATAAATAATCTTTACAATTTTGTATAATTTGTCTTCAATGTCTTTATATGACTCAACTTTAGTAACTTATGACTCATCTTTGATAGCTTCACAATATTCATCTGAAGAAGTTAAGAAAGAAGAAGTATATTTGAAACATTTTGAAAAAAAATCACCAGATCTTGTTTGGGAATATTTTTTTGCAACTTCATTAAAATCATCAATATATTTTTCTGCTAAATATAAATATTATTCTATATTATTTAATTGTAGACGTTCTAATTAGCTTGAGATGTATTTTGCAAAAGAATATGAAGGTAAAAACCTTAATAATAAATTAAAAAAAAAGTATCTTGAAGTTGTAATTTAAAGATAACAATTAAAAGAAAAACCCCAAGCTTCTAGTTTAAAAAATCAAAATAAAAAACAAAAAATAAATATTAATAATTGTTGGAAAAATAAAAATCAAATTTTAACTAGTTCTAAAAAAAAGACAGTTGATCATGCAATTATTAAGGCATTTTCTGTAATTGAAAATCCATAGTTTATTAATATACTTAAATCTCTGCAATTTTTATATAAACTACCTATCTGTAAATATCTTGCTAATACTTTATTAAATAAGGAAGTAATTAAAATTAACTGGGAAACTGAAGAATACTTAAAAACTACTGATAATTTAATGCTTGGTAAATTAATTATAATGCTAGTATTGTATTAAATCTTTAATTTATATAATTCATTAAATTAATATTAACTTGGGATTGAATAGTTGGACAAATCCTCAAAGTATTTTAATTTATAATTTTTTGATAATAACTTCTAATTATAAAGAATTTTTATATGCCCTTCATGATTTATTTTAGGATGTTCTATAAAATAGATGGGCAAACTCCGCAAACTCTGCAACTCTGTTAAATATTTATTAATAATTACTAATTCTTGGTAGAGTTTATTTTTTACATTGCCTACCTATTCTATAGAACATCCTTATCTTATATTAACCATACAGCCAATTTATTTTTTGAAGAAATTAATTAAAGTTGGGCTTAAAAAATTCATTAAAATAATTTTTGATAATGCTTTAGCTATTTTTGCTATATGTAAACAAATTAATTAGAAATATCCTTCTATTTTTAATCTTTATTGTATTATTTATTTTGTTAATCTTATTATTATAATATTTTAAAATGTGGATTATCTGCATATATTTTAAAGAATTGTAATAAAATATGTTGCTTTTTTAAAACTAGTTATTTAGCTAAAAGTTATTTAAGAAGATATATTGAAGAATTTAATATTAGTAAAGGTAGATTGAAAATTTTTATAGAAACTAGATGGATATCGATATATAAAACAGTGGATTCTGTTTTTAGATTAAAACCTGTTTTGGAAAAAGTAATTATTAAGTATATACTGTAGCATTATTTGAATTATTCATTTTACATACTATATTAATTATAATTTTAAAATATATTTTGAAGATATTAAATAAACATCCCAATCTTATTACTAATCAAGATGTATGAAGTATCTTAAGGTTTCAAGAATTTTTTCATAATATAAAACAAATATCTAAAATCTTTGCCCCAATTAGAGCTGTGATTTTGCAATAGACTGCTTAATAGTAAACTGTTTTATTCAATTAGTTGTTTGATTTCAATAATTTATCATATTCCAAAAGAAAAAAATACAATTACTCTTCAAAATCAATGTGTAGAAATTGTCAATAACTATTGAAATAAGCTTGAAATTGAACTATATATTTTAGTATATATGATTCATCCCAAATATTAAGATATATATTATAAGCTAAATTAGCTTTTGTATATTTTAAATATTATATATTTTATAGTATATATAAAAATATATTTGTATCTATTAAAAAAAATTTTTTTTATATATAGGCGCCAGTTTAAGAAAAGATATATAAATACAAACTATCCTTTATATTACAACATTATGGCAATCAATAAAATATAAAAACAAAAATTTGGGCATCGAACTCTTCCCGACAATCACTTGAACCACCCTCCTCATAGAAAGAAAAAGTAGAAAAAGTTTACTGGAGAGTCGTGTAGCTACAGGACAGTTTGTAGCGAGGTCATAGTGGACTCCTTGCTACGTTTGGCATGCAAGCCAGAAGCTGAAAACCAGATTTGTGAAGGGTGAAGTGATATATGTTTGTACGCAGGTGGTGCCCTGCACAAAGTGAAGTATAATTCTGGTGGTATTTTCATTACCGTCGATGAAGTTTTGTAGACTATAGTTTGAGAGAGGTCTTGGTTGTTTTTAGAAAGGTTAATGACTGCTTTGAGACTCTCCTCTATATCTAACATGCAAGCCAGAAGCAAAGACGCAAAGGAGAAAAATGCAGGTAGCACTCACTAGTGCATATAAATTTTGGTGAAAGAAATTCTGTTAGCGAAACCTTTAGAACCCCTTGAGAACCCAGGGGTACAGTAAACTTTGAAACTTTTTGGTTTCAAATCGCACTCTTTTATTCTATACAAGTGGTCTCCCTTATTTCACTCTCTCGTTGCTGCCGATCTTCCAAAAATTTCGACAAAAAGTGGGATTTGGCTTACCCCCTTCAAACGATCAGCATAGGTTACATGGTGTTTATATTTCCATATCTGGCTAACATGGTAGATGGCAATCACATATCTGGCATAAGAGGACATGATGCTACCAGTTTTGGCTCGGGGCCGCAGGAGACTGAAGAGTTGGTGCAGGACAATGAAAGTACCTGATTAGAAGAACTTGGGCGAAGACTTCCAGAAATAGTAAGGTCAGAGAGAAATTAATAGTATAGGCGAAGCCTTACAATAGAGATATGCAATGTTGCTACGAGCATATAATTTTTATACTCGCCTGGCATGAGTTATAATAGTGCATTTTTCTTTTTTCTCGTCAGGATCACTGAATTTTCTTTTTTTACTTTTTTTGCTGATCCATTTATAATAGAATTATATTTAGGATAGTTTATTTTTGTAGTTTTTTGGTTTCGATTTTCCTTTCATTCTCCTAAATGTTTTTGGTCTTTTGTAAATGTGGCATATATGTTCTTGCTTATAGAAGAGTAGGAGATAGTTATTCTGCCCAGATTTTAGCAGAAAAAGTTGGAAAAAAGGTTGGTGATCCTAATGAGGTATATAACAGCCAGTCCGTAATCAAGGGGGAGTACCCTTTGGGATACGAAATTATGAGTTAGTTCATGATCTCTGAGTAGACAAACAGTTGTTATAGCAGGTCACATTGGGCATTTTTGCTTGGTGAGTTTTTATTGAGTTAGAACAATAAGTTGTAGGAATTTTGTACACTTGGGTGTAAAAATTATATAACAGTTTACATGAATAAAGGCAGGATCACTTAAAAAAAAAAATAAATAAATAAGGTATAAAAATAAATTATTTGTACAAACTTTTATATCTAAAATTATCAAATTTAAATTCCTATATAATACTGGATATAATAGCCAAATAATAACTCTTTTAATGTAATAGAGTTTTGTTAAAAATAAGTTTGATAATTTTAAAATTCTAGCTAAAAAAATTTTTGGGTTGATATTTAGTATAAGTGGAAATATATAAATATTATAAGATTATTTAATATAAAAATAATTATTTGAACTAATCTAAACAGATTTGGGACTAGTTAGAGTTAGGGTGAAGGTCATAGGATAGTTTTAATTAGCTTTGGATTAGAGTTAGAATTTTTTTATATTAAATAATCTTATAATATTTATATATTCTTACCTATACTAAATAAGATCCAATTTTTGTATTAACTCCTCATAGCACATTATACAAATAAATTTTCTCTATTCTGGGGTGGTTTTATGGGAAAAAAAAACAGAAGTTAAGTTTAAAAAATTTAAATTTAGAATCACTAACTAAAATCTGATATCACAATTTATTTAATATATATGGGGGTAAGTCAGTAGAAATGGAACAAATTTATTAGATAAATTTGTTCTATTTCTACTGACTCACACCTATATAAAGAGTTATTATACAGTACAAAAAACAAAACTGAAGACAAATTGGTAACAATGATTCAAGAATTGTATCTGATTGATAATAAGGTTTATATTAAAGAAAATAAAGATGAAAATAATGAAAATAGTGAATTAGATAATAATGATTTGGTAATTTCTAATCATCAAGTAATAGTTTTAGTCATTAACAGTATTGTAGATTTGAATCATTGAATGTTTAATCAAGCAGATAATATATATACTTCTAATGAAAAAAATAGTAATTCGGATATTGCTATAAATAAAGATTATGAATTTAATTTAGAAGAGTTAGTTCATAATCAGGATTTTGAATAGTATATGTATCAAATATATATTTTAAGTTATGTATTTAGGGGGCATCTATAAATAACGTTATGTTTGAGGGGGGAGGGGGTTCCTCAAAATATAATGATTTTCCAATATTTAGAGGGGGTCTCTAAAACATAACGCAATTTTTTTATAAAAATTTGTCTAAAATTTGATCCAGTAGTCCAAATTGGATGATTTTGGTACCATTCGAATCGTCTCAAGGAGAGAAGTCTAATGGTATCAAAATAATTTGATTTGGATCACTGAATCATATTTTATTAATGGAATACTATTGGTTATTATGTTTTTTTATAAAATTACTATAAAATCAATAGTATTTCATTAATAAAACGTTATCTAATAGTCCAAATGAAATAATTTTGGTACCATTGGATTCGTCTCACAGAGACAAATCGAATGGTACCAAAATAATTCTGATTGGATCACTGGGTTATAATATATTCAAGTTTTTGTAAAATTTTATATATAAATATATAGATTTTTAAAAAAATTTTATATAGTCTGGGGGGTCAAGAGCTACTATGTAGGGTACATAACATTATTTATGGATGCCCCCTTATCAGTATATCAGTATGATATAAATAAATATATAATATATATATATAAATATATTATAAATAAAATATATGTTTTAATATAGTATATATATAGTAGTTTTGAATCTTGTATATTATTTAAAATAAGCTAAATAGTTTCTATTTTACAGAATATCAAGAAGGTAGGAGGATTTCTTAATATATATATATATAATAATAAATACTTATTACAAAAGTAGAATTTTTAAAATATTTATTGTATATATTAAATTAACAAAATTACAAGATTAAAGATTAAGGTTATTACCAAAATACAAGTGCTAATCCGATTATAAAATAAGATTTTATATTATTGAATATTAATTGTAAATTTGTATTGAATAAATTTTCAAAATTGGT